TTTCTATTTTTAGTAGAGATGAGTCTTGCTTTGCTCAGGCTGGTCTCAAACTCCTGGGCTTAAGCAGTCCTCTGAGTGTTAGGATTTATAGGCATGAGCCACTGTGCCCAGCATATAATTCTTTTTTATTATTATGTATATCTATGGTGTACAGCATGAAGTTTTGATATACAAAGTGAAGTGATTCTACAGACACACAAATTAACATATTCATCATCTCACCTGTTACCTTTGTGTATGTGTGTTTGTGTGGTAAGAGTCTACTCTCATTAAATTTCCATTTAAGAGTCTACTCTCATTAAATTCATTTTATATACCAATATAATACAATATTGGTAACTGTAGTCCTCATAGTATACATTGGACATCTAGACTGACTCATGGAAGTACAGTTGTATACCTTTTGATCTACATAGTCCCTCTCTACTGCCCTCCAAGCACTGTTCTATTCTTTGGTTCTATGTATTCAATTTAGGAAAAAAATTCACATTTAAGTGAGATCATACATTATCTTTTTTCTGTGTGTGGCTTATTTCACTTAGCATAATGTCCTCCATGTTCATCCTTGTTGTGAAATATGGCTGTATATCCTTTTTGAATGTTGAATAATAGTATACCATTGTATATATATACCATGACTTTTTTGTTTTATCCATTCATCTGTTGGTAGACACTTAGGTGGTTCCCATGTCTTGCCTATTGTGAATAATACTGAAATGAAGGTGGGAGTTCAGATATCTCTATGAAGTGCTGGTTTCATTTCCTTTGGATATATATCCAGAAAGGAGGATTGTTGGGTCGTGTAGTAGTTTCTTTCATTTTTAAATTTTTTAGGAGCCTTCAGTGTTTTCCATAATGGCTATGCCAGATTGACAATTATTTATCCTCGTTGCTTATTTCTAAGTTTTCTTCTGTTAGATATGATGTTATAGCAAAACCTTTCTCAGATAAATATGTGAAGTTTTTCCTCCTATAGACAACACACAGTGGACAGTAAGAGCAAGGACTCTGGGGCTAGGCTGCATAAGGATTCCTGTGTGGGTCTTCTGTTAGCTGTGAGAGCCTGGGCCAGTTACTTGACCTTTCTGTTCTTTTCTTTTCTCAAGTATAAAATTAGGATAAATGTGACAACCTATAGAGCTAGCACATAACAAAATACTTTATATATATTTCTTAAGAAAAAATATGACATTTCTAGAAAAGAAATTGCTAGGTCAAAGGGTCTACACATTTTTTGAAACACTGCCTACATCCTGTTTTTTATAACTATCTTTTCTGAAATTAGTTTTTCACTGAATGATCCAAAAGGAAACTTAAGTTACCAATA